CAGCCACAGGGCTTCCTTTCTGTACTTCACATAAGAATTTCCTTTCTATACTTCACTTCCTTTCTACACTTCCTTTCTATACTTCACCAAGTTCCTTCTGTCCTGGACTCACAACCAGTTTCTTAAATGTCTTTCTCTTATAGTCCTCCCTACGCTCAAGTATCACCTTCCACGACTACTCCAACACCCTTCCACCCTCACCCACCCTCTGGTGCCCTCTACCATGTCACCCTCTTTGTTTCATATCATATAGTACAATATCATATTATTACTTTCATATTTTTTATAAAGTGATAAGATGCTATGGTGTGTGAATTTCTCTTGTAATTTCATTTACAATAGGATTCGTTTTTAGCAAGATGGTTTTTAATATTTGATTTTTTGTGTAAGAATACTTCACATGAGCCCTAACTGGTTTAGCTCAGTGGTTGAGCATCAGCCTACAGACTAAAGAGTCCTGGGTTTGATTTCCAGTCAGGGCACATACCTGGGTTGTGGGCTTAATCCCTAGTAAAGGGTGTGCAGGAGGCAGCCAATCAATGATACTATCTCATCATTGATGTTTCTATCTCTCTCTCCCTCTCCCTTCCTCTCTGAAATTAATAAAAATATTTAAAAAAAATGCTTGACATGAGATGTACCCTTTTAACAAATTTGTTAGTGTACAATTCATTATTGTTCACTTGGGTACAATGTTATACTACAGGTCTCTAAGATGTACTCATCCTGTTTAACTGAAACTATATTCCCATGGACCAGCAACTCCTCCATTTCCCACACCCACAGCCCCTGGCAACCACCATTCTACCACCTCATTCTAGGAGTCTGACTATTTTTGATTCCTCATGTAAGTGGAATCTTGACAGTATTTGTCTTCCTGTGACTGGCTTAATTCATGTAGCATATGTCCTCAAGTTTCATACATGTTAGGACATATTGCAGAATGTCCTTATTTTTTAAAGACTAAATAACATTTCATTGTATATATGTTCCACATTCTACAATAGTTGTTGTTTTTTTTATCCATTCATGGAAGTTTAGCTTGTTTCCACATCTTGGCTTTGTGTATGTGTTTGTTTGTTTGTTTGTTTGTTTTGAGCTTTACTCATTGTTATTTAATTATTTTCTTTGGCTTTGTGTTAACAATTGGCAATGAACATGGGAGTCCTCATGTCTCTTCAATATCCTCATTTCAATTCTCTTGGATAAAGGTCCCAGAGTGGAATTGGTGGATCATATGGTAGCTCCATTTTTTATTTTTTAAGAACCTCCGTACTGCTTTCCATAGCAGCGGCACCATTTTGTATTCCCACTAGCAGTGCACACAGGTTCCAGTTCCTCAATCCTTGCCAACATTTGTTGTCTCTTTTTTAATGTGTTTTTTAGTTATTCAGTTATTGACTCTATCACCCCTGATGAGAAGAACATCATCACCATGTGACAGGGCCTTGGTCTACACTCTTTACTCTCTAATCCAAGTGCCTGTAACAGTGCCTGACACAGGGGGCTTTCAGTAATTACTACGTATGTTGAACGGAGAGCAAGCAAGGTCGTGGGCCATCTATATTAGGATGATAGTCCTGGTGACAAGAGAATGAGCGAATTCCCATTACGTCCTCCTCACCGTTCCCATTTTTTGTGTGTTTATCCTATTTTAGAAGAGAGTTGGGAAGGAGAGCGGGCCAAGTGACCCAAACAAGGCCTCCCACGTAGGCAGGCACCGTGCTAAAGGCACCATGATGCAGAGTCTAGCCCTCAGCCCTCTCAAGTCAATCAGGAAACAAATCCTTCCATCACTGTGTTTATGATATAGTACACAACTGGCATTGAGAGCCCTGACACTAACCCCAGCTGTGGGCATTCATTATTAGCTGTGTGACCGAAGGTACACCACCTCCTTTTTATGGAGCCATGGTTTCCTCACCTTAAAATTAGGGGTTGGGACTGGAAGTAACTCCCAGATCTGTGGCTCTTAAGCAATTAGTGCCAGTTATTCATTTATCAGGGAACTTTACCTAGAGCCTGGGTGGGTCCGTCCCCTAAGACATTCCCTCCTGCCAGCAAGTCAACTGTGGAGATGAAATTAAAGCTGCCAGGAGAACTTGATGAGCATGACATTTAGAACGCAAGGAGTTAACTGTTGCCAAGGAGCGTTTCTATTACGCTGTGAGAAGTGACATGATGAATTCTGCCCAAAATTCTCCTGTGCCCAGAAAGAGGATTAGTATTGAAAACTGGACACAAAACCCGCATCCAAAGCACGGCATCCTCCGGGAATGGGAACACTGGGCCAGAAGCATGGTTCGTCAGCTGCTCTTTTTCTTCAACCTTTTATCTCCATCCCAGTGATTATGGGTTTTTGATTTACTCATACCCATCTTTTTATAAAAGTTTTTTTTTTTTTTTTGGAATTTTTATAATAGTTTATTTGAGCCAAACTGATGACATAGACTAGGGAGCAAAATCTCAAATGCTCCTATAAAAAAATATTGATGTAAATATCAGAACTATATTTTCCAAACTAAGAATAATCTTACAAAGGAAATGTGTTTATGACAACAGTAGGAAAGAATTTTCAAATTGGAACTCTCCTGAAATCATATGTTTGGTAAAAGATCCTTTCAAAGTGCAAGACAGACCAATAGATTTCAAAGTGATGGTAAATAGCATGTTGGTATACTTTTAGACTCCAACAAACCCCTAAGAAACTACGACTTGTTGAGTTTCAGTATACTATCCAAGAGAGGTACCCCCACTTATCTGAAAGGCTATTAAAATATTCCCCCCTTTTCTAATGTCACATGTGTGTGAGGCGGGACTTTCCTTTATATACTTCAACCAAGATAACAGATTGCACTGCAGAAGCAGAGATGAGATTCTATCTGGGTTAAGGTAGACATTAGAGATTTGCAAACATTTAAAACAAATCTTCTCTTCTTGCTAATTTTTTTATTTGTTTTATAAAATCTATTTTTCACAGAAATTTATGTTAACATAATTATATTTATTATGAAGTGAATTGGTGGATTTTTTTTAAATTGTTTTAATTTTTAATATAGAGCATACTAATAGATAGAACCCACATAAATATCTCTTCAGAGCGTCAGAAGGCTCTTACAGCCGAAGCCGGTTTGGCTCAGTGGTAGAGCATCGGTCTGCAGACTGAAAGGTCCCAGGTTCGATTCTGGGCAAGGGCATGAACCTTGGTTGCGGGCACATCCCCGGTAGGAGGTGTGCAAGAGGCAGCTGATCGATGTTTCTCTCTCATCGATGTTTCTAGCTCTCCATCTCTCTCCCTTCCTCTCTGTAAAAAATCAATAAAATATATTTTTTTTAAAAAGAAGAAGAAGGCTCTAACAGCAGTCGCTGAGAGGCACTGCCTGGGAGTGAGCGCTGTTCTGCACAAAGTTTGCGGTCAGCTCTGAAGTGTCTCACCCGCAAACAGAAAAGGACACATGAAGATCCCGGATATTTGACGAGAACCTCAAACATGAATGACAGAAGCAGATGTGATCAGAAAGAAAGGAGCTCAGCTGAAACCAAGGAGCAGGAACAAAAAGCCCAAAATAGGACAATATCTTCCTTGGAGAGCAAAGGTTTTACATCCTTAAATAAGAACAGACACCTAGGGAGAGCTTCCTTTAAAAAAGAAAAACCTCTGAAATGGTATCTAAGAAACAAGGTTTCCAGCACAGGCGCTGGGTGAAGGGCGTCCTCAGGATGGTGTTGGGGAGAGATCCCCGCAGAGGCAGAGGGGACCAGCAGGTAGTCACCAGAAAAGAAGGCACCAATCGGTGACCTGATGTTTGCACAAGTGAGACGAGAGTTATACTCTGGCGAAATGTTTGATAAATTGGTGGTGTGTACTTAGACACAAAAGAGAGAGAGAGAGAGAAAGAATTTTAACTCCAGGGGAAACATGGTTATATAAGAAAGGAAATGTAATTATGTTGTCCTGCAAGGCTCATGAGAATAATATTTAAAATGTAATAATATTTAAAAATGTAAGCTCTGACTTTAATCAAATTTCATAACAGAGTCATTGAGAAAATGGGAGGTGGGCAGGTTTAGGGAAATTCAGAAGTAAATACCACACAAAACTGACAATAATGAAAATGTAGCTTCAGCATGTTTAGAAATGTAGGTACATGTAGCAGACACGGCTACAGCGGAACATGCTTCTAGATAGTGGCAATCAAAGGTGGGAAATAGAACGCAAGGCTATTTAAGATATTAAACATGTAATGCACAGCTAATTAAAATAAACACTCAATATAGTAAAATATGCATTAATACAGCAATGCAATATGGAAATGCACTAACATTTACACTGAGAATGCCCTTTGACCCAGCAATTCCATTTGTAGAATTTTATTCAACTATGCAAAATTAGTTAAATGAATTATGCTATTTTTTACCCAATGAAATATCATGCTGTTACTTCAATTAAGAAATTATTTTAAAATAATGTAAATTTACATCTAAGAAAAGGCCTTTTCTTCCCTAGCATATCTTTCCTCTAGAGCACAATCTTTGTTTAAAATTTTATATTTGTTAGTGTGGTAAAATGTCCAAGTCTTCCAATGGATTCCAAGCTCCAGGAGGCCCAGGCCAGAGACCATATCTCGGTTTGCTCACTGATGTATTTGCTCTTGGTGCTTGCACAGTCCCTGGTGCATGGAACGCTGTCTGATGAATGAATGAGTGTGTGTGGGCACCCACGGCAACAGTAAGAAACTCCTGGAAGACATAAGTGCTGATCAGAGCTTCTCTCTGAGTGGGAGAGTTACAGATCAGACCAAAGTTTAAATTCCTGTTCCCTCATGACCTTGGGAAGTCCCTATTTGAGCCTCAGATATAATGACAACAGGTCCTCAGTTAACCAATTAAATGATTCTTTGTAAAGGCCATATAAATGTTTAGGCGTCTAAGGTATGTAAAATGTCCTCCACCATAAAACCCCAATCTAATATTTCCTTTGTTGTTTGTTTGTTTATTAGTGAACTTTTGCAAGACTTGGAAAACTGTGAAAATGACCCTGTGGCCATAGCAGAATGCTTTGTGTCCAAGGTAAGCAGGGTTCATTTTTCTGGGCCAACAGCACAGATACAGGGTACAGATTGTTTTCATCTTACTGTTAAAATGACTTGTTTGTTTCCTGGTGGGTGAAGTTAGCCACTAATCTCACTCTGGCTTCTTTCTTTTTTTTTTTCTTTCTTTTTTTTTTACCAGCAAGGGGAAAAATAGACTTTCCCCAGTAAGTTAGGAAATAATAACTTAGTAATTGTCCTGGAATTTGTATAGCAATTGTATGATGTTACTCGTCTTTCGTATTGAAAACCTTTACATTTGGGGAAATAGGGGAATAGAAGAATGCTAGAAAAATAAATAAATGTAAAATACCACCAGACCAATTAGACTATAAGTATTTTATGTATAATATATAGGGCACTAGCCGAGGCTACACAATTTTCATTTAGGGGCTAAAGAGAAGCAGAATTCATCTCTGCCATCGTAACAGTGTATTCTTATCTTCCTACACTTTTCTTAATCTGCATTGGTGGCTTAGGAAAGGCATTTGACTTTTATAGCTTACATGGCAGATGGTGCGTACTCGGTGCCCAGATAGGAGACAGAATTCTGAAACATACCAGGCAACCCTTCCAACATTATTTTCTGGACGTACCTATGGAATCCGACCATGTGTTTCTCTGAAAAATCCAAAGCTTTTGTTTGGAAAACCTCTAGCAGAAATTGCTTTGCAGCAAAAACCCTGTGTGATTTCTGCAGTTGTGGTTTCACAGGTCCAACGCGTTAAGCAAAGCTCAGTGCTTTGGGATCAACCAAGAATTAGCACCCCTTTTCAAGCTCCAGAGTGTAATGCATGCCCAATGGGAACCCAGAGGTGTCCCCCCAGCCTGGCCTGTTTCCTTGATTGCCCCCAGGGGGTCATGTGTTATGGCTCCAGATCCATCCCGTGGCTTTGGGCCCACGCACAGCACTCCGGGTTTTTTTGCAGTGAGGTTCCTGTAAGGCAGCTGACAACCTTGTATAGAAAACACTCCTGACTCTGGGTGGATGTGGGCGTGGGCGTGTTAACGTGTGAATCGTTTGTGCACACATGGAGGCATACAGTTCTTTTCACAAGTTGCCTCGGTCGTAAATAATTCTCCTAAAGGGTGGGAATGTGAAAAAGAGGAGGAAAATGAGAACAGGAGAAAAGAGTCCAAAGATATGCCAAGTATATCAAAGGAGATATGTTAAAGTAACCGCAGCACATAAACAGCATCGAGGCTTTTGGAGACGTTTGGGCTTTGACTGGTAACTGTAATCACGAGTTGATTAAAGACGGTCCAGCATATGCTTAGCGCCGGCTTAATTATGCACATAAAAGTCTGTTTATGGGCCACGCTGCCAACTCCCAGATCTCCTTTTCCATTGTAATAGTGCCAGGTTTAATTAGAAGACCGACTCGGGCAGTCCACACGCTCCCATGTGAGCAGGGAGCTGTGAGGGGGTGTCGGGTCCTGGCACGACCTGCCCTTCACTCAGCACCCCGACATTTAGGAGATGCTACGTCTTCTGGAGCGCACGCAGCTGCTCAGCTCCGGGAGGATGGAAAATTGCTTTAATTGAGGGGCCATTAATGAAAGGGGCAAAGCTGGCGGTTGACTCGGGCTTTCATCTGAAGCACTGGGGCCTGCCCAGATTCACCTTTGACCTCGCGCTTGTGGTCTGAGTAGGTTACAGGAATCCCTGCTGACAACCGGGAAGCCAGCGGGCACGTCTCAGCTGCTGCTCCTTAGAGCAGAATCAGAGGCCTTTCTGCAGAGGGACGGAGATGAAGGTCCCTCCTGGGCAGGCCAGGCTGCCTCCCAGCTGAGCATTCTCTAGAAGCACCCAGAGCAGCCTTCCCTCCATTTCCTGCTTTTCCCTCCACCCCCATTTCCATGCCTTATCTGAGCTGTGACCTGCGCTGACCCCCGGCTATGTTGAGTAAGGAGACAAAGTTTGTCTTAAGAGATCCAAGGCCTCTTAGCCTCCTCCTCTCCCTGGATGCCTGGCCTTCCTCCCGTCCCTGCCTCTCTCCCTCCAGTTCACCATATATCCCATGCGCCCATGCTGCAGTAACTCACAGCCCGGAGGAGGACAGACAGGTACACGGAACATGTCACTGTCCCTTGGTAAAAGCCATGAGAAAAGTAAGCATTGGGTTTTGTGGAAGCCCAGAGCAGAAGCAGTTGGCTCAGCCCAAAAGCTTAAGGAAGGCACCTTGGAGGAAATAGAGCCTTAGTTCAATGTCAAAGGATGCGCTGTGGCTCTCGGGCGAAAAAGGAGGGGAAGATGGTGGGCAGAGATAACGGCAGACAAACAGCTGCTTTCTCATGCCCCGAACATGCTTCTGACGTGACATTTAAGTCATCTACTCCTGCCTCTCCCACGCTGCAAATCCACCGAAGGACTAGGAGCCCTGGGGCAGAAGCCCGTTTTCCCCCTCTTCCTTTCTACCTTCACGTTTCCCTAGCACGGCAGATGCTTGATGAGTGTTTATGGAACTCGAGTGCATGTGGATTCTCGATATGACACAAAGTGGATCAAAAGGCAAAGACGTTTGCCACAGGGCTCAGGAGGCGGGCTTGTGTTGTCAGAGAAACAGCTCTAAAGGCATGAGTGCTGTTTGTTTTTATTGTTTTAAGTGAATGGGGATGCCTCTGCTTCTTTGCCCATGAAAGTCTCTTGTTGCCTTGCAGAGTGAAGAGTTCCACATTTACACCCAGTATTGCACCAACTACCCGAGGTAGGCTTTTTTTTTTTTTTTGGGGGGGGGGGGGGAGTGCTTCATCACTTTCAGATTGTCTCCAGTCAGTCAGGCCAGGGGGTGTCGGGGTCGGGCGTTAGTGGCTGGCACTGTGCCGGATACTTTGAGGAAGCTGGAAAACCCTCTAAACCCAGATGATGGGTGCCCACACACTGGTCCATTCGGGCTTGGGCTCCCAGGAGAGCTGCTGTAGGGAAAATCATGAAAGACCCTCCAGGAGACCAGAAAGGCTGCTAGGTGTCCTTCTGTGGAAAACCAAATAAACCATGTTTTTTGCTCGATGTCTTGTCTAGTAACCCTTTTGTATGTGTGCCAGGTTCCTAAAATTCTCCCAAAGACTACCACTGAGTGTGTGTAATCTGGCTGTTTTTTTGCTATGTCAGTTCTGTGAACTATGTACGTTTTATGGAGTTCCGAGAAAGGAAAGTCATCAGTTTAGGAGAGAAGAGAGGACTCATGGCCTCACCTGATCACTACCTCTGTGTTGCTTACTCTGGAAGCACCACATGGGCCGATTAGGGAGCACCCCTTAGACCATATGTTGACCATTTCAGTAAGGCCTAAGACCATGGGTCACACTGACTGAATTTCTTTTTTGTGCCAAAGACACTTATTGAGCACTGACTGGTTCCTAATCACTGTGTACACTGCTACAAATAGAAATGTTGCTGAACTGAACCTTCACAGCAGCCCAGAGATATCCAGGGATTAACACAAAGCAGAGCAGCCATCACCGTGTTGGGCCACAATAGGTCCTCCCTCAGGCTGTGCCCCATCCCACTGCACGGGTGAAGCAATTGGGCTCTGATGGGTCTGTTGATTTTACAAGAGTCACATAGTTCGTGAGTGGCCCCAAGAGGATTCTCTAGCCTCACGGAGCATGCCACTACATCTTTGTAAAATTGTATGGACCCGCACCCCCAACCCGTGCCTTTTGATGGCCCATTTCCCCACAAGCTCCTTGAGTGGTTATGCCAGGGGCCATACAGGAAGATGGGAGCCAGGAGGTCTTACACGCTCTGTGGCTAGGCGTAGTAGAGACTTGTCCCTGAGAGTCATGTGGGTGGAGGCCCCACCTAGAAGAGCAGCCCTGATGTCAAGCCCTGATGCTGCTATAGCAGGAAGAACAAATGGGGCCCCAGCTCGGGTGGCCCCGGAAAGCCAGAGTGGATTAAAAGGCATGAAGCCAAGGCTTCCTTCCTGAAGGCAGGCCACTTCCTAGTGGGGGATGGTAGTCTCTTCCTCTAGCCATTGGTCAGGATATCGGGCTGTGGTGATTTATTTGGTGAGTGGCCAACCATACTGTTCCCAGGTTTCCCTAGAAACAAAGCAAACAATTAGCTCCCGATTGGTACCTTTATCACTCATGCATATCTGTAGACCCACCCACAGTTCACACAGTTTCACTTAAGCAATGTTCTCTCCTAGAGTTTCCACATGGATGCTGAGGGTATCGGGAAACTGTAGGATGCCCTAACTATATTTATGGTGCTTAGGGTGAACACTAGCAGTGTCCCACACCCCATTCAGAGAAATCGCAGGATCAACTTCTCAAAACTTCCTCCTGAGGGAAAGGAAAAGCCACCCAAACTGTAGCACCAGCAGAGCTCTGGACCCAGTGATGGTGCTCGGGGGAACGAACTTTTGAATTTGTAATTTGGGGAGTTTATGTATTAAGATTTTTTTTTTTTATTTAGGAATAAGAAAGGGGAGTACAAAGTAAAGGATTCTTTCTTCGGGGTCCTGGGAAAGGCAGAATCATTGGTGCCGGAAGGTTTTTAAGAGCCTGGCACTCATGGAGCTGGGTCATGAGCTTGGTGCACGTTGATAAGAAATAGAAGCTATAGCCCTCGCCTTCAAACAGTTTCTAGTCTTTTGAGGGTCAGAACCCAACTGAATGCAGTAGTGAAAGAGCGAGTTAGAAAAGATCGAATTAATGAGCACAAATGAATATAATGCGAACTCAGTGACGTGCAACAGAAACAAAATACACTGATATGAAGAAGTAGTACCACCTAGTGAGCTGAGTTAGGGAGATTTGGGGAAAGTGATTTCTTATTTTGAAGAAAACAATGTGTTAGAGATGCCTAAAAGACATTCTCAGGGGGGAAAAAAATTATAGCCATTCTCAGTGAACATCCAGTTCTTGCCCAATTCTGTGTTTTCATCTTCAGAGAAGTTTTCCTCTCATCCCCTTGTCTCCTCTCGTCCCCTTGTCTCCAGTTTGCTCCTAAGGCCCAAGCTCCCCTTTCCTGCCTTAAGCCAAGAGTGCCAGGTGTTTCGGCCCATCTGACAACTTTCCTTCCCCTCAGATCCAAGGCTGGCGATATTAAATGTCACCAGCACATCTTGACAGATGTCCACCTTCTGCATACCAGTCACACCCCAGTGATTTACCTGGGAAGAGACACGGCTGCCCTCTCCCCCAGGGCTGCTGGACACAGTTGGGTGATTGTCCTCAGATGTCCCCCTGTCCCCTGGAGCGCAGGCTGCTCAGGAGTTCCTTGCCCTGGGTCGAGAGCTCCAGCCCTCAGATGGCCAGTGACCACTGAGCAGCTGATTCCCACTCTCGGGAGCCTGATAGAAGTCCCACGATTACATGATGAAAAGAGTTTTTGAAATCTCAATTTAGGGGGGAAACAAACACATCCAAATAGATATTTGTCAGAGCAGATGGCTCCAAAGGGATCCTAATAGCTTCAGGAGGACCTGCATTTCCAAGGAGTTCTGTTTTGTTGTTTGGCTCTGTCTGATTTTCTAAATTAACTCTGAAAACAGATTACTGACTTAGGGAGAAATTACTTCCACCTGCTTCCTTCTAAGTTATGAGACCATAATATTTTAATTTATGTGTGTGCGACGACACAAGCCCACTAGCTTTATTTCTGAGATTTGAGCATTGTTTCCACCACTCCCCTGAGATACTTGGGAACCATCCATACATATATATATATATATTTTTTTTAATTGATTTCAGAGAGGAAGGGAGAAGGAGAGAGAAACAGAAACATCAATGATGAGAGAGAATCATTGAGGGAATTGTTGATCAGCTGCCTCCTGCCACAACCCCTACAAGAGATGGAGCCTGTGAGTTGGGCGTGTGCCCTGACTGGAAATCGAACCATGGCCTCCTGGTTCATAGGCTGTTGCTCAGCCATGAACCACAAAGGCCGGGCTGGGAGCCCTCCTCCACTTTGGGGGAGCTGGGATGGAGAAGGCATTCTGACCCTCTTTTCTAATACACGCCGTGAGGCGCACTCCTTATGGAGCAAGGGTAGCCAGCTGTCTCAGAAGCTGTCTTTAGAATGAGCAGAGCCACTTGGAGGGCAGAGAGAGGTCTGTTCAAAGACTCTCAAAGGGAAGTTGCCCTGCGGGACCAGGTCTCCGAAGCCTTGCACTTAATGCCATGCAGTCTGTGCCTCATACAAAGACGACCATGACAGTGTCCACCACCAGCTGGATCTGCTGCGGGAGGGGCTCCTTTTTCTCAGTACAGAGTTCACCTCCTTGCACTCTAACCTGCGGGAATGGAATACAGATGTGTGGTTTGAGCAGATAGGGTTCAACTGGTGGCTAACAGCCACTGTGAGTCCCCTTTGCTAAGCCGTGTGTCCACATAGGGCCAAAGCTCTGGAAGGCAGGGGCTTGCTGCTTGGAAGCATGTGTCTATGGGTGGCCTCGCTGTTGGGTATCTTTCTCTAACCCACCCCCCTTCCCCCAGCGGGACAGCTTTGTCTCACTTACGCAGAGGCCTTCTTGTGTAGCTATGGCTCTGTTGCTTCCCTGCCTGTAAAACTCGAAGGCCCATGTCACACATTACAATTTAGACTCAAACCTTTCTTCTCCGTGCAGATCCGTGGCCGTGCTGACGGAGTGCATGAGGAACAAGACCCTGGCCAAGTTCTTCAGGGAACGTCAGGAAACTCTGAAACACTCGCTGCCTCTGGGGTCCTATCTCCTGAAACCAGTTCAGCGGATTCTCAAGTATCACCTCCTTCTGCATGTAAGTTTCAGCCTGCGCTCGAGTTCGTTCCAGAGGGTGGGGGTTTCGTGCGTGTGTGTTAGATTTAGGGGGGAAATATCAGAAAAGGCCTGGGGCACATGGAAACGTTCTCCACACTCATACTTTACAGCTGACTAATCTGCTTTGAGGAATTAGGGATATTTATGTCCGAGGCCTGCTGCCTCATTGGCAGAAGCTGTAGATTCATTTCAGTTCTGCTCTGCCAGCGCTCAGGAGCACCTCACGCTGGCAGTGATGGTTCCGGCAGGTTTCTTGGGTTTCATGTTACTTCCTTGAGCCCAGCTTCAGTAGGCAGTGGGGAGGGAGAGCAATTGGTCTCAGATCAGCTTTTGTATAAGCAAGGAGCAAGGGCTGAAAGTGGAGGAGACAGGTGAGCAGTGTGATGGACGATCTTGGACGTGGACTTAGCATCACTTCAGGGTATCTTTTCTCTGTATCACTTCCCGTTATTTGGACAGAATTCAGGGAAGTTTTAGAAACAAAAGAAGATGGAGCATTCATGTTCTCATTTCTTACCCAAGGATGTTGATAAAAATGGACAAAAGTTGTGTTTAAGTCACTTTTGTGCTGTCGGTAGACTTGGATTACCAGTGCAATAGGAGACAGACAGGGTGCACAGCGGTTAGGGGCTGGCTCGGGGGCAGGACTGCCTGGGTTCCCATCCTATAACTTGCCCATGTGCACTGTGGCTCACAGGCAATCAGTTAAAACAAATTATTATTGTTATATCCTTTTTGTCCTACATTAAAATTTTTTCTTAGATTTTAATTCAGAGTTCTTCTCCATATGAACATGTCTGCAATTTGCATGTATCCCTTTTTAAGTGATTCCAGGTTTCTAGCTTGGATCATCATTCCAGGCTTGCTCAATTCACACATCTAACATTTAAAGAACCCTTATGTTCCTTCTTTGCCAGGACTTTCTCAGTTTAGTCTGTTTGCCTGGGTGGCTCATCTTTGAAGAATATCGTGGCCTGTGAAGCCACATCAGGGAAAGTACTTTAATTGTTAAATTGATGCTAATAACTTCTTAGATTAGTGGGATTTCAACATGTGAATTTGGGGAGAGATACAGACATTCCGTCTATAACATCTGGTAATGAATAAAAACCGAAAGAACAGTGGTTAGATTATTTGAAATCTAACTTCTGGTTGCCTTTGAAGTATTGGGGAGTGTTCTTTCTGTGTCATTCGCATCACTTCAAAGTTGTGTAGCCATCCTTGGAGATCCCACAAGAACACGCACTGAACTCGAAAGACAGTTGTTGATGAACAGATTGCCTCTCGGACTAAAAGGAGAAATTAGTTATTGTGTTTTTTTAACTTCACTGTTGAGGTTGAGCTTACCTGGGAGTTGTTAGTTTGGAGAGACTGTTTTAAAGGACCTTTCTGAGTGTGGAAGGAAATGTAAATTCCTTTCCGGTTTCTAAGTAGATGGAAAACGTGAATACTCAGAAAAAGTAAAGATTTATGAAATCTGACTATAAAATAATCTTTACAAATTATACCAGAAGATTCAACCTCCATCTGTTAGCTTAATGAATATGCATGAGGAATATCATGGAAAAGATCTAATGGACTGTACTGTCTTCCTGTGTTTTACATATTTCTATCGGGTTACTGGTATTTTTGTTTTAGGAAGGTACAGCTTAATTTAAGGAGCATTTATTGGCCACTTAGCTCCCTGGTAGGCCCTGTGGAGAAAATAAAGGACAAAAGGAGCTATGCAGTCACCTGGCCTCACACTCTTAGGAATTCTAGGGGCATGTGTCTTATGTGCTGGAAGAAATTAGCGCAGAGCCGAAACTGGTTTGGCTTAATGGATAGAGCGTAGGCTTGGGGACTGAAAGGTCCGGTCAAGGGCATGTACCTTGGTTGTGGGCATATCCCCACTAGGGGGTGTGCAAGAGGCAGCTGATCAATGACTCTCTCTCTCATCAATGTTTCTAACTCTCTATCTCTCTCTCTTCCTCTCTGTACAAAATCAATAAAAATATATTTTAAAAAAGAAAGAAATTAGCGCAGAGATTGTGTCCCTTTCCCATCACCCTGGCCTTGTTGACCCAGTGCTAAGCCCAGTGCTGACCGTCAGAGCGAGTATGTGAACCAAGAGGTCCTCCTCAGCACTCTGAGGGATTGTCTTGGGTGAACTTCCTTTGGGCTTTAAAGTCTCAACTACATGAAGATGCACTTGCTATAGAAGCAGTGTGTTGTTGTTGTTTTTTAAAGATAATGCCCACTGTATTTTTGAATCTGTTATGTACTAAATCCTGTGTGAGACCTTTTACTTTCTCTCAGAGAAAAGTAATAAGTGTGTTTTCCATCTTGTAAGAGTGAAAACCGTATCACATTGGCCACCAGGAAGCTCTGAAATTTCCAACTATAATGTCAACTCTCATATCTACTGTGATCACTAAAATCTCTGAGATTTGATGGCCTATATAGATGTTTTGTTTTACCTTGTTTGTCATGACATTTTAATCGACTTCTGTTTTCCTAGCTCCATTTTCTTTTCTGTCTTCCCATTTTGTTGTAGGTATTTCTGGTAAGTTATCTCAAAATCTTAAAGCATGAGTCACATGTAAATAAATAAGGCAAATAAAATATGAGGAACTAATCATAGGGGTACCATTTATATCACTGACAAAGTGGGAAAGTTTGAAAAACAACTGATTTGAGGTTTGTTTGTTTTAAAGGAAATAGAGAATCACCTCGATAAGGACACAGAAGGCTACGATGTGGTGCTGGACGCAATAGACACGATGCAGCGAGTGGCCTGGCACATCAACGACATGAAGCGGAAGCATGAGCACGCCGTCCGGTTACAGGTGAGCCCTCGAGGTGGAGGTGCTATGGGTGTGCTGGCTTCTCATCATTCTCTAAATCACATACTAAGGCTGCTCAAGGATGGCCTGTCATTCATGGTCTTCTTCAGAGTTCTTCCTGGAGAAAGATCGGGACACCGATAAGGCTGATCACTGAATTTAAGAGGAAGTCCCATGGTAACTTTTAGATTAATAGTCTGCTTATAACCCCTTCCATGATCTAAGGGAACAATTTGAGTCTCCTGAGGCCTTATCTTCTGTCCATCACAAAGAAATATTCTAGTTGAAAGCACCTTTCTCTGAGCCATTAAAGGAGTTTGCAACTTCTATTCCTGTCACTCGTTCATGCAAAGTCCTGTGTTGGTATTGGGACAGGGGACTCAGAGCAGGGAGAGCAAAGTCTGGAGCCAGGTCCTTTGCAATTTCATCTGGGATGAGACTCACAGCTTTACCTTAGGTTCCTCATTTGTATAAATGAGACAGACAAGCGTGTGCTAAGGTATTACACCAAAATGTTGAGCCCTACACCCCTGAAAACTTTTTTTTTTAAATATTTTATTGTTTTTTTACAGAGAGGAAGGGAGAGGGATAGAGAGTTAGAAACATCGATGAGAGAGAAACATAGATCAGCTGCCTCCTGCACACACTCTCCTGGGGATGTGCCCGCAACCAAAGTACATGCCCTTGACCAGAATCAAACCTGGGACCCTTGAGTCTGCAGGCTGATGCACTATCCACTGAGCCAAACCTGTTAGAGCCCCTGAAAACTTTCAATAGTGGTCACATCCTGGGTACCTCAAAAGATGTCCTATTTTTACAAAGAAGGTTGTGTGGGCCCAGAGGGAGTCTCAGGCCTTGGGGTATCCCTGGAGTGAGGCTTAAAAGCCCAGAGTGGCTCCATGTTCTCAGCTACCTGTGCCTGACTCAGGAAAATAAAATATATTATTTGGCCCATAGGTCTGAACAAAATTCTAGGCAGCTAGAGTGTGGTGTGTGCAACTGACCATCAAAAATCAAAGGAAGCGAGAGCCGAAGCCTCCAGCCTGTCTGGTTTTGGGGGCAGTAAGAAAGGCTTCATGTTCCATCATTCAGGTGTTCTGTGGGCGTGATGTCAGGCGCATTTATTGCATTTCCAAAAATGGCTAAATGACTATTCCTTCAGACCTTGTGAATCTGTTGGGCATTCCGAAGACACTGCTACTCAGTCTCTGGCTCAGTCCTACCTCCGTTCCTCTCCATTACCATTATCCTCCCAAGGATGTCCCGGGTGTCTGCTTAATTAGATGCTGTTTGTAGACATTTCCATCTTTCAGAGCAATCAAATCAGCTTCCTTAAGAAAGATTGATGTGGATGTACAATACATCCCAAGTAAACGTCAAAGTCATGTTATCAGTTTGTATTCAGCAAGTTCCACTCAAAACAAAGAGACAGAGAAATGTTCATTTTCTTGCCCCAAGTAAATGGGATGAATACCAGGAAGTTTCTGAGAAGTTGAATCTTGTATGATTTTCCAGGGACTTTAGTTTTGTTTTCTGATATGTGGTATGATCTTCTGTTTCTGGGAGAGGGTTTCCAGTCAGTAGCTCAGAAGGGTTTTGTCCAGGGGATAGGAGGTGAGAACATCAGGGAGGGATGCCTATCTGAGTAGTTCTCATACCAATGGCCTCTTTACATAGCTTTGGAAAGACATGCCTGCTGCCGCCAGCCATAGGAGAGGGGTTATCTAGGAAAGGAAATAAGCGATTGGCAAGCCATCAACTAACAACTTGCTTCATTTCTGCTAACCCTTAAATGACACCACCCATACGTGTAGACTCATGTCCTGGATCATTGCACACTGTTAGATGCCATTCTGAAGGCTCCAGAAACGGGCCACCGTGCCCTTGCTGCCTCACCTGCCCACCTCCTCTTTAATTACGTGGGACCTTGACCTTCTTTCAGGAGATACAGAGTTTGCTCACCAACTGGAAGGGGCCAGACCTGACTAGCTACGGGGAGCTGGTGCTCGAAGGAACCTTCCGCATCCAGCGGGCCAAGAACGAAAGGACCCTCTTCCTCTTTGACAAGCTGCTTCTCATCACGAAGAAGAGAGACGACACGTTCACGTACAAAGCTCACATCCCGGTAGGTCTACGTGTGGGTCACGGGCCAGGCCCATTCTCTTCCACGCATGCTCACCTGTCTCACTCTCCCGCGCAGTGTGGCAACCTCATGCTCGTGGAAGTGATCCCCAAGGAGCCGCTCAGCTTCAGCGTCTTCCACTACAAGAACCCCAAGCTGCAGCACACCGTGCAGGTAATGGCAGCGCCCTCCCTCCCTGCCAGGCCCTCTCTGTGCCCCCAGGGCACCCTGTGTGCCAGGCAGCCTTTCCCGGCCCTTCTGGCCACCTGGAGTGCTTTGCATCTTGTCGGAGGGTGGGAGGAGGGGCTGAGTTCGGTGTGTGGTGGCGGTGAGAGTTGTTTGACTGTCCCAATCTTTTTCCCTAGGCCAAGTCACAGCAGGACAAACGCCTGTGGGTTCTGCACCTGAAGAGACTGATCCTGGAGAATCACGCGGCCAAGATCCCGGCAAAGGTAAGCAACAAGGCTGACAAACAGTAAGACGTGAAGACGTTCAGGTCCTGGGGGGACAGCCCAGCCCCAGGGGTGAACTTCAACTGCAAAGTAAAGAAGAGTGAGAGCAGGGATCCGCCAGGGACCAGCTAAGCTAGCCATTTATGCTGACCGGACTCGCATGCAGGACACTGGGGAGAGTTTTTGTTTTGTTTCTTAAAATGTTGTTGTTTTCCTCATGGATGTGAAAGAAGAAAAATATGGAAGAGACTATAAGTGAATTTCTAGAGAACGAGTAAAAAGTAAAGAGAGCGATGAGAATTAATCCAAGTGTACAGAGCACCTACAATAAAGCTGGCTCCGGTTCTGTGGAAAGGCGAGGGAAACCAGGCTCAGACTCGGCCATGAAGAGGTCTGCAGATGAGGGAGCTAGCCCTGAATTATGGAACTGTTGCTAAGCGTGGCGAATTAATGAAGGTATAAGCAAGTGTTGTGGGAGGGTGAAGTGGTCAATTACAGTTGAGTGGGGAAGGAAAATGCCCTTCCGTATGTGGATGAGTGAGGAATAGCTTTATTAAGTGAGGTGAATGGAAGAGGAAAACCAAGCCGAGGGAACAGCATACACAAAACCGAGATGCCTAGATGGAGGGACTGTCCCAAGAAGAGGGAGTTGGAGTGAGGCTGGAGAAATGGAAGACAGACAGCTGGGCGATGAAGGGCTTTGACCCCACACACAAGGAGTATGGAGAAGGGTATGGCATGGCATGGTTTGCCCCATGTCCTGAGAGTGTAGCTTGGGGAACAGTGTGGCAATGAGTGGGAGGAGTGAGACTAGAGACAAGCCCCACAACAGTGTAGAAAACAGATAAGGGGCACTACCAGGGAGCCACAGCATAGGAGGGAGTGCACAACCCCCTTGTGGAGGCAGAGAGAATAGGATTCTGCCCACTGAGTGTGGGGAGAGGGGTTAATAGAAGTCCAGGGTGAGGAAGGAGTCGGCCAGGAGGACGGTGTTGTGAGCTCCAGGACAGACTGCGAACAGGAGGAACGGGTTGGATGGGAGCGAGAGGGCTGAGCGCTGGTACACGTGCAGGGGCAGGTCAGCTGCAGGTGACAATTCGGGTCTTGGAAGCTGCCAATCGGCAGGCTCCCTCCACCCAGACAGTAACTGAAGCCTTGAGAGCGGATAGGAGGGCCCATCCTAGGAGGAGCCCATCAACATGTGGAAAAGAAGAAGAACCCTTAGGAATCCCAACATCTAGGGATCTGCAGTGGGTGGGGATGTAGAGAGCATCCAAAGGAAGGGTGGCGATGAAGTGGTGAGAAACCTGGAGGAAAAGGTGAGGTAACAAAGGAAGGAGAGAATCTCAAAGAGCAGGAGCTGAGGAACAGCCTCAGGTGCACTGAGGTCCAAACAGATTCCAACAGGAAAGTAGAGGTCAGATTTGCTCACTAAGAGACAGGCGAGGCTGGAGTGGGAGGGAGAGAAAGGGGAGGAAAAGGAACAGACGAAGTGGGCTTTTCTTTTTTAAAACAGAGTTCAGAAAAGACAAAAGCAGGTAGTTTGAGGGAAGGTGAGATCAAAGCAAGACACTGTTTATAGGTGAAGAAGGCCCTGGACATAAGTAAAAGGGGGAAGAAGACAGGGAAACAGGAGATGGGGAGAGTAAGAGGAGGGATGGCTCTCGAAATGTGACCTGGGGGGTGGCAGGGTGGGATCAAAAGCACAGGGGGTGAGGGGTCAGTTTTGGAAACAGTCAGAAGCATCTTCCCGAGCTGAGCGAGAAGGAAGATGAAAACAATAGAGAAGCTTTGAGGTGGATTTGAGGGGAGATCGAGGGTCTGATTTCACTGACGGTGGTGGTACTGTCACTTGCTGTGTGAGTGAAGAAGATGGGTTGGTGGCGAAGTGATGAAAGTGGGACGGTTCAGAGCCCTTGCCCAACACAGCAACCTGGGGAAGGCACCCACAAGGCGCCAGAAGCTGGCCACCATGAGTCAGTGTGATGAGCCAATTTCAGATGACTCGGTAACTGGTGCTGAGGTGCCAAGGTGCACGTGGGTGCCCCGAGGGTGGGGGTTGGCGACAGGGAAGGTGAACAGGGCAAGAAGGCGGGACGCTCCTCAGCGCCTATGCAGTGATCAGACAGGATTTGCAGGCTGAGCAGACAGGGAGATTCAATGAGAAAATAGATCTGGGGTGAAGGAGCGCTGGTCTTGCAAGTGAGAGAACGGGTTCAGCAGGATGGCAGGTGGGGAGACGAAATGTTGGAGACAGATGTGTAGTTGAAGAAGGGCCCTTTGGAGGTCTGCCTTGGAGGGAGGGTGGGTCTGGGTGGGCCGTAGGTTCTGGGGGCTGCTCCGATTACCGATTATGTGTTGCTGTTCTGGAGTGGAGGAAACTTATCAGGGATCACGTGGTGAGGAGTCAGGGTGAGGATTACCCACATGGATGGTGAGATGGTCCATGCTGGGGTGGGGAGGAGTGAAGTGGGGCAGAAAATGGGATGATGATCACACGGTAGAACTGGGGCGGGGTGGGGAGGTGGGGAGATAAGTAGAAATGAGATTTCTCAGGGAGGAAAGGGCCTGTTTTGCTCTTTGTGTATTCTGAGAAGCATCAGCAGCCCTGCTCAGGGGCTGTCAGCAGTGATTCTGCGCCAGGAAATGAGTGTGCGAAGGTGTGTGCTCTGAGGCATGAGGCTCCATCCAGCAGGCGTTGCGAGAGGTCAGGCAGCTCCTGCGGACAGGTGGCTGCATTCTCCCCGTGGGTAGTCACCTGGTTGCTGGCCAGTGCCTTGCAATGAATGTCCTCTGAGCAATGGCAGTGGCTTTGATATGCCCTACCTATTGTCTGCCTACCCACAGGAAATTCAAACCTGCCTAAGGATTCCCAGGGGTAATTACAGGCCATTACAAAACACATACCTGTCCTCTCCCACGCTAGCTAGGCGTGTATATTCCGGGCAGTTTTCCCTTTATGTGTGAAAATGGTCACAATAGAATTGTATTTTTTTGTTCAACTTCCTGATCCTCTTAGAATCTCATTCGGTTTCAGCTACACCTTCCTGAGCATGCAGTGTGCTAAGTACTTACTACTCTTTATTTCACCCCACACACAAAGAAAAACTCCACCTGTCCGCAGGAGCCCAGAGTCAGACCCAGGGCTGTGGCCCCAAAGAGCAAGGCTTCACCCAAGCACTGTTCTCCAGGAATGGACACGGAAACACATTTAGTTAATGTACTTTACGATAGTGTTATAATAATTTTCTATTTTATTTAAGCAGATACTTAATTTGAACATTTCACTTCTTTCCTTGACTATTTCTTAATCTTTTCTTAAGCTATCAAAATATATTTGTTCCTGCCGAAACCGGTTTGGCTCAGTGGTTAGAGTGTCAGCCTGAGGACTGAAGGGTTGAGGTTCGATTCCGGTCAAGGGCATGTACCTTGGTTGTGGGCACATCCCTAGGAGGGGTTGTGCAAGAGGCAGCTGATGTATGTTTCTTTCTCATTAATGTTTCTAGCTTTCTATCCTCTCTTCCTCTCTGTAAAAACTCAATAAAATATATATTTAAAATATATATATGTATATATATAAACATCAGAAAATGTACACCAATCTGATAATATCAACACAGCTGCTGGAAATTCATTAGTTCCTGCTAACCTCCTTCCAATCCTTTAGTTCAGTGATGGTCCCTGGCTGCCTCCTAGTGGACAATGTGGGAATAACACTTTTTGAAATTAAATGTTGTTGGGGTGGGAGGGGCTGTGGTTTAGCTGGTGCCAGTTGTGGGGCATTTACTCCCCACATGGGAGCACTCATCTGTTTGAGTCCCTCAAACTATGTGTTAATGCCTAAGAGAAACAATGAGTTTCTTTAAAACGCTTTTGAAAAACCACTTTTTCGGGTGGGATAAGACCCATGTTAGGATTGGTAGTTTGAAGTAGAAACCAAAAGAATGTGATTGCAATTATAGCTACATTTTCTTTCTTTCAGGCAAAGCAAGCAATACTAGAAATGGATGCCATTCGTAAGTTTCATTTTCTTAACACAATCTGAGATTTCATTTTTTACTTGTACCGATCACATTTCCTATTTTGAAGTTTATAAAAATGTCAGTTGTTAAGTAGCAGCTCTCTGCTGTTTTAACTAATAGTCAGTCAGGAGGCAGTACCATCTCTTCCTGACACATTGATTTGTTTCTACATTCATTTCTCCCACTTTATCTGTGAGTCACCTGACGGCTGACCAGTAGGTAGGTCTCTGTGTCCACGAACAATATAGGATTCCCAGAGTCAACTCTTACCCCCACCACCAACAATCAAGGTCTCACAATCCATTTCCCATCTCACCCCATTGACAGAAAATCTGTGTTGATTATCTGAAAACATCGAGATAACTAGATAGTTACTGGTTTTCCTGATAACAGCACACATTTCAAAATTACAACTGCCCCACATATATGATTGCATTTCTAGGCTTATACAAGCAGAAATGTATAAGGAAAATAACCTTATTTGCCCTACTTGGACTTGGCTGAGTGTGAACAGAGTAAGCCAGTCCATTGGACCAAATGACCTCATATATCTATATCTATATCTCTATCTATCTATATATATCTATATATATAGATAGATAGAGATATAGATATAGATATAGATATAGATATAGATATAGATAGATATAGATATATGAGGTCATATATATATGTGTGTGTGTGTGTGTGTGTGTGTATCTTCACCTCTGACATGGGAGAAGTGCATGTGGTCTTCACAGCCCTTAGAACTCTCTCGAATGTCAGGTGCTGCTGAAGAGCATTAACCCCAATCTGAAGGCCGTGTTTACAGAGCCATCCTTAAATTGTTACCCTCTAGTGTCAGCATGACGATGATCACTGAATGTGCTGCAGTGATTTAGGGTTAGACCAGGTTTCCTGGATCCAAAGTTTGGGTACCCCTTAGATGGGGTAGAAAAACAAACTATGAAATTAAATGATACGGTAATCCCTTTTCTGAGAAGAGAATCTAAAGTACTCAACAGATGTTGAAAAGAGCAAAGTCTAGAAAAGTATTAAGAGTCAATGAACTGCCCTAACTGGTTTGGCTCAGTAAATAGAGCGTCAGCCTGCTGACTGAAAGGTCCCAGGTTCAATTCCAGTCAAGGGCATGTACCTTGGTTGCAAGTACAGCCCCAGTAGGGGGTGTGCAGGAGGCAGCTGATCGATGTTTCTAACTCTCTATCCCTCTCCCTTCCTCTCTGTGAAAAATCAATAAAATATATTAAAAAGAAGGGAAAAAAGAATAAATGAACTGCTCAGTCAGCATGGCTCAGTGATTGAGCGTTGACCTATGAACCAGGAGGTCATGTTTTGATTCCCGGTCAGAGTACATGACTGGGTTGTGGGCTCCATCCCAGTGTGGGGACTGCAGGGAACAGCCAATCAATGACTTTCTCATCATTGATGTTTCTATCTCTCCCTTACTTTCTGAAATCAATATTTATATTGAGATACATATTCAACACCAGGTATGGAAGAAGGGACTCTGTCTGAGGGAAGAGAATAAATGCTGAGCTATCCAAAGCAGGTGGCTCGCGTATTCTGAGCAGTCACCAGGCGCCTGGTTCTCACAGTCCTGCCTTCTCTTTCCAGATTACCCTGGCTTCTGCTACAGCCCCGAGGGACAGGCGAAAACCTGCTCCACTCCCTACCGGCTGAGAAGAAAATCTGGTAATTGAGATGTTTCATCCAAAGTTGATAAGCGAGGGGACTAGCAATGAAAGTCCCTTCCGGTGGGACAGAGAGGCATATCCGTCCTGGTCTCGGAGCTCACGGCCAGTTTGAGTGCAGTTGAGGCCTCATTGCCATGGGGCTCTCAAACTTCTGTTCTAAAACTCTTTCCTACTTAAGTCTCTGTTTTCACACATATTAACCAAGTAGCTTTGCTTTGCACAGCCTCTTGCTATAGCAGACAGGTACTAAACCCTATCTATGGTTGTCAGCAAAAAAAATGTAGCCTGTAAATGACACGTATCTGAGATTGTTCAAACTTAAAACTCTTAACACATAGTTGCTGAATCAGACTCCAGGTAGTGTCACCTTTGGGAGCCCTCAGATGTTTGTTTGTTTGTTTCATTTGAATCACTATTTATTGAGTGCCTACCTAATCTGTGCTCAGGACCAAAATGCCAGGATAAATAATACACATGATTCCTGCTGGCAAGAAGTTCAGAGTCTAGTGGGAAGATCCAAAAAGGCGACTAAACACCAGGAGAGGGAAGGGTCACTTCTAGGAAGGAGAGAGGGGGCTTAGAGAGCAGAGGGCCAGGACCCCGATGGAATCTAGGGGCCGAGGAGGCAGGTGGGAGGCAATAGACATGCAGATGCCCCAAGACTGAGACAGAATATCTTAGAGGGGACATTGGTGGTCAGATGTAGGATGGAGCTGGGGGTGGAGGTGAGGGGGGGGGGGTGGAGATAGTGATGGAGGTAAGGTGGAGATAGGGGTGGAAATGGAGATGGAGGTGGAGATAGGGGTGGAGGTGAGGGTGGAGGTGGTGGTGGAAGTGGAGATAGGGGTGGGGGTAAGAGTAGAGATGGAGGTGGAGATAGGGGTGAGGGTGAGGGAGGAGGTGTAGGTGGAGGTAGGCAAGGTGAAATGGAGGGAGATGTGGCTGGAGGTCAGAGAGGGGCTTGATCCTGAAAGGCAAGTAGGCCCCTTGAGGGGTTGGAACTCAATGCTGCAAGCTATGGAGAGATATCAAGCAATGAGATCTTTGCCTGTGAGAACCGAATTCGAGCTCAATGTGGAAAATGAAGTAGAAGGGAGACCATAAAGCAAGATGTCCCTCTTTTTGGGTGAGAGATGCTTAAGGCTGGATTAAGACATCAGTGACTAGGGTAGAGCACAGTGGGATTCCCACAAAATGATGGATGAAAACAGGAGAAATTAGAATGACATCCTGGTCAATAAGTTGGGTGGGGAATGTCAGTGATAGCCAAGATAAACACAGAGCAAGGGGCAGGTATGGGGAGACCAGTGCACTGAGGTTGAGACGTGGTTTTGCTGGGTCTGTGGGAACGGTGGAGGAAGGCCAGACTGGCAGCTGGCATGTGAGGTCTGAGGCTCGGACAGGGTCCGAGATAAGAACGTTAAAACTGAACATTATCAGCTTATAGGTGGTAGTTAATGCTGAGGAAATTGCTGTGCCAGCTGGTAAAGCAGGTATTCTGTTATGTGACTCCTGCTTACACAGCTTAATGTTCACCTTAGTTTTGATGGGGTGAGTGTCTTGCTGCTAAGTATCTCTAAACAACAGGGATTTTGGCAAATTTGATTTAAAAAATTTCTAGAGCAAATTTAATTTGCTCAGAAACTAATAATTTACTTTTAAAGGAAAAAGAACGAAACTCTTGATTTGGTTTTGGAAGTGATGCCTTATTTTTTTCTTTCTCCCAGAACCTTCCTCGAGATCACATAAAGTTTTGAAGACCAGTGGTAAGTCCTGAAACATCTTCCTTTGGTATTCTTGTTGATAGCCACTAAGTCAAACCACGCACACACAAAAAGCACCAGGTGAGAAAAAAAAAAAAGCACCAGGTGAATTACAGATTGATGGGGTTATTTAACTTCTGTAAGTAATAGTGCCCCATTATAAAATGTAAAGCCAAATGACATCAAAAGTTTGCAATTTAGATAACAGGCATAAAAAGATTAATATCCCTATTACTAAAAGGAATCTTATGTATCAAAAAGAAGGGACAAAGGATCCTTTTTGAAAAGGCAGACAATATCATTGGGCAGTTTCACAGAAGAAACACAAACTGGCAATAAAATGTTTAAATGGTCACCCATGTTAGTAACCGGAAAAGTCATACATTTGCATTGTGCTAAGCGAAATAAGGCAGTCAGAGAAGGATAAATGTCACATGATCTCACTCATTTGTGTAATATAATAAATTGATGAACAAAAGTAAAAGCAAAGACATAAAGCACCCAGCAGACTGTCCAAACTGTGAGGGAAGGTGTGGGGTGAGGGAGTAAGAGATCAACCAAAGGACTTGTATGCATGCATCTGAGCATAACCAATGGACACAGACACCAGGGGCTGAGGGAAAGTGTTCGGGGCTGGGAGTGGCCATGGGGCACAAAGGAGACTCCTGTAATACTTTAACCAATGAATAATTTAAATTTTAAAAAATAAAAAATAAATGGGAAAAATATCCTCCAGTGAGAATTAATAATAACCAAAAAGAATAATTTGAAGTTGAAAAAAAAAATCATACATTTAAGTGAGATAGATAAAGTGGGAAAAGCCGTGCGTATGACCTAAAGATAGAGAAAAACAAGCACTGAAACAATTGGTGTGCAAGCTTTTTAGAGAAAAGTTTGGTAAAGTCCATTGACATGTGCATTACGGAGAGCATTCTGCAGCCGTCAGAAAGAAGGTCATACGTGTCCATGGAATGACAAGAGTGCCCACCTATGTTTAGCAGAAAGTACAGTGTTGCATATTGTACCTTTATTTAAAAAGCAAAAACAATGCTTTGTGGTGGGATGGGAGCAGCGGGCAGGGACTGGAAAGATGAACATCACATTGTGAAGTGTAGTTACCTCTGCGGGCTGGGGTTTGTGGAGAGGGTTCGATCACCCTTTACTTTATATGCTTCCGTGATTAGGCCGCTTGTACAGACGAGAGGTGCATAATCAAGGTCTCCGTCAGAGGGTCTGTGTGAGGATCCATAAGCCCATCCCCAGAACTACAGGTGCACAGCGCCCCGGTGACCTGCTGAGAGATGCTCTCTAGCTTTCCGTGGTAACCAGTGAGCTGTTTTAAAGTTAACGGAAGCATAGTCCTGTGTTTAAGTGGTTTCCAGGGCTTAAGCCATGTGGATTTTTTTTCAGGTAACACATATTGGAAGGGTGGGGAGGACTTTTGAATGTATTAACGTGAATTCGTCCATGGCTCTCAGAGATTAAGGAAGATACGTACCACTCACACGTGTGTAGCTGTTTTATCTATAGTCCAGGGCATAGCGCCAAGGTAACTGGGAGTTGTTTTTTGGAAATTAGATCTAAAGGGCCCAGAAGCTTCTTGGTCTTGAATTATGAACAGTAAGTTTGAAAGTCTTATAAAATAGGAGTGCTTACCTATACACTTTGAATCCACAAACTTAAAACACACACACACACACTTTATTTATTTATTTATTTATTTATTTGTTTCTTTGTTTTTGTTTTTTCAGAAACAGCACAAGACATTCAAAAGGTAAGTGCCCCGCGTTTCTTGTGTTGAAGTGTGTACTTCCGGCACTTTCTATAGGTGCTCCGAGTGTGAGCAATTATCTCACATTTCCAAACGGGCCTGAGTGAGGACGTGTCCTTATAACAATCTCCCTCTGAGAACTAGGGCATTTTTTTTATTTTTTTACTTAATTTTGTAATAGAAAAATAATATTCAGGATGACGTTTTGTTCTTGTTTTTCTTACTTTTCTCTTCCCTTTCCTCCCTGATACACAGACAAGCAGACATATTGACAGGTAGCTATTCCAAGGCCCTGTGTATCCCAGTCTCATGGACAAGTGGTGAAAGATTCTTGCTAGATAGTTTGACATTTCCAATAGATCACTCCAGTGTTTGGATCAGAGGACATGTCCCTGGTACTAATTAGTCTGAACCGATCTTCACCCTCTCCAATGAACTCTTTGAGGCTGGTGTTTATACCCGTAGCGGGCCTCGGAGGGCAGTCCTCTCCCAGTCTGCACATCGAGCTCCAGCAAGAAAGCTCCAAGTTATAAAGGGCCCCATTGTGTGCTCTGGTTAGACATCGTTAATGTCACCTGGAGTTTACTTCCTTTCAGGCATCGAGATATTACTTAATTAAATGTACTTTGAAAGAACGTAAAAATCTCATTAGCTCAACAGTGGATTGATGAAATGACATTCCTGCAACCAGGTCTTGGCCTACAACCGTAAACCAAGCCAGGACTGGTCAGGTTCAGGGCAGAATTCATCAAGTCATTGAATTCTTATGAGCCTAGACTTTCTTCCTGAGAAACTGGTGCAATCATAGCTAATTCACGGAGTACCTGTGAACAGTAAGCTGGGAGGATGTCTGCAAAGGGCCTAGTTCAGTGGTCGGCAAACTCATTAGTCAACAGAGCCAAATATCAACAGTAACACGATTGAAATTTCTTTTGAGAGCCAAATTTTTTAAACTTAAAGTTCTTCTAAAGCCACTTCTTCAAATTAGACTCGCCCAGGCCATGGTATTTTGTGGAAGAGCCGCACTCAAGGGGCCAAAGAGCCGCAGTTTGCTTACTACGGGCCTCGTTTATTTTTAAGTTAACACCAGTTACATGCCTTTCTGCCCCTGGTGCAAAAATCTGAAGTACTTTTCTTTTTTCTTTTTTTTTAAATATACATTTTTATTGACTTCAGAGAGGGAGAGAGTGATAGAAACATCAATGATGAATTATTGATCAGCTGCACACCCCCAAGGGGGATTGAGCCCACACCCCGGGCATGTGCTTTTGACCAGAACCTGGGACCCTTTAGTCCGCAGGCCGATTCTCTATTCACTGAGTCAAACGGGCTAAGGCTAAAGTGCTTTTCAATTCAGTGGAAGTCTTCAGTGTCCACTGATCATTTTCTTTGTGAATGTTACTGTCTAGCAGTGGGCTAGGCAGTGTGTAAACACAGGGGAGTGGTGCAAGGTGTGCATCCCTGGCGCTGCGATGCCATCAGTGTCTCTCCCCCCCCAGGTGTCCAGGGGAGAAGACTCTCCCCAGCGGAGGTCGGCGGGGCCGTCACCCGCGCAGAGGAACAGCCAGCCCAGCGGCTCGGCCATCCTCAGCGCCCTCCGCGGGGGCGCGGCCGTCAGGAACATCTGGACGGACCATCAGATCCGGCAAGCCCTGTTCCCCAGCCGCCGGTCCCAGGAGCACGAGGAGGACGACGACGACTACCAGATGTTCATGCCGTCCTTTTCCTCCTCCGACCTGAACGCCAGCCGGCTGTGCGAAGACGGCACCTCCAGCCGCCCCTGCAGTTGGCACCTGGGACACCTCGAGCCCACAGAGCCCGCCGGCTCTGGCCACAGGGTGGTGAGGCGGGCCAGCAGTGCTGGCGAGAGCAACGTGTGCCCTCCGGAAATAAGGATCCGGGACAGCGACGGCTCTCAGTACAGTCCGCAAAGGGAACTGCAGGAGGACCCCAAGACAGACGGGCAGGACGGAAGGACACCCTTCGGGTCATCCATCGAGCTGACCCTGGACGACATAGACCACGTCTATGATAACATAAGCTACGAGGACCTAAAGCTCCTGGTTGCCCAGCGGGAAGAAGCTGAATCGGCCACCCCCAAATCAGCCAGGGACTCTGTGCGACCCAAGAGCACCCCGGAGCTGGCCTTCTCCAAGAGCCACGAGAAGAACCCTCTGCACGCCAGGAGAGGGGCGCCTCGGCCAGGGCGGGAGGCGTCCGACCAGAGCATCCATGAACTGGAGGCGGTGGAAGAGAACATCTACGACACCATCCGCCTCCCAGACCCGCCCGCGCTGGACCTGAGCTGCAGCAGCCTCCCGCGGCCCAAGAGGAACACCTTCCTGGGCCTAGAGGCCGACTTCGCGTGCTGCGACAGCCTGCGGCCCTTTGTGTCCCAGGACAGCCTGCAGCTCGGCGAGGACGAGGCGCCCTACCCCCCGGGCCCCTCGGACAACCACTACTTGAGCTTGCTCTACGACTCCTTCGGCTGCAGCCTGTCCCTGGCGGAGAAGTCTCTGTCCGACAAGCTGTCGGAAGAAGTGGACGAGATCTGGAACGACCTGGAGAATTACATCAAGAAAAACGAGGTCAAGGCCCGAGACCGGCTCCTTGCGGCGTTCCCTGTCGGCAAAGAGGACGTGGTGCCCGACCGGCTGCACTCGGAGAGCGCCCCCGAGCTGAGCCAGGACGCGGCCCGGGCCCTGTCCACCCTCTCGCTGCCCGAGAGCCGCACCCTCCTCACACTGCAGGACAGGCCGGGCAGGGCCAGCCGGGCCAGCTGCCCGCTGGGAGGGGACCTCCTGGCTCAAGAAGGCTCCTTTCTCAGCCTCAACCGGCTCTCTCTGGCCAGCGAGGGGCCCCGCCTGGAAAATCCCTACGACCTGGCCAACAGCAGCCTGTTCCAGGCGGACCTGGACAGCCTGGATCCTGGGGTGGATGCCACGGATAAGACCAAAAGCCGGGTATTTATGATGGCGAGGCAGTACAGCCAGAAGATCAAGAAGGCCAATCAGCTTTTGAAAGTGAAAAGCCTGGAGGTGGAGCAGCCCCCGGCCAGCCAGCCGCCTAAAGCCGGGCACAAGGACCTGGCTGCCATCCTAGAAGACAAGAAGCAAGGAGGGCCCGCCATCGGTAAGTTCCTTCCCTGCTTCCTTCCTCCTTGGCAGGGAGACGGGAGAGCAGCTGTCAGGTTCCGAATGTCCGTAAGACCGTGAGAGCATTGCCATGCAGACGTACATCCCACTAAGGTGGGCTATCCAAAGCCAATGTTCTTCCCCCCTTCCTAAGTTCTGGCTGGGCTAGTAACCAGATTGGCATGAAACCAAATAACAGGGGAAATGTCCAAAATGTAGTGGAGATGTTCACACAGGGGTGGCCCTAAGAATGTGAGGCTCAGGGACACATTGGGCGGTTGAGGCTTCTGTGTCATTCTGGAGATGAGAAAGGGAGGTGTGGTTGGGAATTTCAAAGGACAGGAAGGCTATCTCCTGGAGAAAAGCAGTGTTTGGTAAATAAAGGTTGGAGGGACCATCCTTAGTAACAGGACACAGAGGACTCTAAGCACGGGGGCCTTGCTAAGTTTCCCCCGTCTGTCACTGGTTTTTATTCAACGACAGAATGACGGCTCCCTTGCTGACGCAGGGCCTCGACCTAAATTTCTTTTAGGAAATGAGGGGGAAGTTCAAAGGTTTTTTTTCTGAGTGTTTCTTTTCTTAAAAATAACCAACCAACTCAATAGAATCAACATCTCAAAAGGCCTATGTTTGGGGTGGCCAGCTCTGCTCCCCTCCACCCAAAACAATGCAGAGCCTTTCCCACGTCGCCCACTCATGCGAGCTGGAGCGTGATTGGGTCTCACGCATGTCACATTTGTGCACGTAACGTTGTCACGACAGATCTGCTGCTGTGAGGAGTTTTCTCTAACACGTCTGAAGCGTGGGATACGGTGACTGGTTTAGCCTGTGGCACCGGGAGCTTTTCCCCGTACACCAGGGTGTCCGGCGGAGTAGCTCACGCGAGCTTTTAAGGTTTGGAAGCGTCAGGAGTAGGATTGCTCTTTGCTCCAGAATCCCAACAAAACCGCCTACTTGTCCTGACAGACAAAAAGAAATCCTTTCTGCATTTTTAAGCTGTTCACTCTATGACTCAGTTTTCTTATCACGTATTTCGGTTACTAGTTGATTTTTTTTTATTTAATAACTGCTATTTTTAAAAATGCACTGAAGACTGTTTCATTTAGTATTCTAACGCATGCTTCCAAAAAGCTTAATTCCTTTAGTCAAGCTTCCTGTGTGGGGCAGAACTAAACCAGGATCTCAGGGATGGTATTGGTACCTTTAGGACTGAAGGAACAAGATGTCTGAGGCTTGACTTCTTTCTCTGTTACAAAGAAGTGCATGCCTCCTGGCCAGAGAGGACAAAAGTGAATGCAGGCCGTGGTGGTGGGGTGGAGATGGGAATAAAGCGCACAAATGTCATAGAAAGACATCCCCCAGCCCAGGGCAGTGGGCACTGGCTCTCGTCTGAGGACCCTTTCACCTCCAGATCTAGAGAAATTTGTGGGGTGAGGCTCAAGAATTAGCTTTTTAAAAAAATATGTTTTTATTAGTTTCCAAGGAAGGGAGAGGGAGAGGGAGAGGGAGAGAGAAATATCAATGTGAGAGCAGAACATCATTTGGCTGCCTTCTGCATGCCCCCTAGTGGGGATTGAGCCCACAACACAGTAATGTGCCTTGAATGGACCCACTGAACTTCCTGGGGCAAGAGACAAAGCTCAAACCAACTGAGCCACACCAGCGGGGCAGGAAATAGCATTTTAAATCAGTGTGGCCTTCCAATTATATCTTATGAATCCCTGCCCTGGATTTTCTGACAAAGGACCCCTCCTCAGTGTCAAAGGAGAGGAGATGTTCTCCAATTAAAAGTAAATGCCAGATGGCTCAACATCAGGGACGTTCAGAAACTTAGCTTAATGACAGCAAGACTCCTCTGCCAGGATTATGCCACTCACTCTCCTCCTGGGATTGGTTACATCATCTCCATGGAAACCAGAGGATAGGAAGGGGATGTCCAAGTCCTAAATGGATCTACAAGTTACATGACAAGAATCTATAGGGATTTATTTTTTAAGTTTGAGAGTTGTCTAAAGCACTACTCTTTCTCTAAAGCTAATCATACAGTAAAATTTCTTAACAGATAGGGAAGTTAAGCCCTGAAATTGTTCCCTGAAGAATTTTACAGACTCTCTTTGAGATACTTTCTTTTTAAATAAAGGTTAAAATGTGAGAGAAACTAGATCCCATATTTTTTTCTCTTTGCAATAATATGGTTGAATTAATCCATGTCCCCTTGGCAATGCTAGATTGCTACTCTGGTCGGTTGTTATTCATAGAAAATGTGCCTGAGTTCCAGCCGTAGATGGGCTATCTGGGGGCATAGAGAGCACTGGGAACAGTATGGAATTGGCAGTGCAGCCACCGACTGAATCTGGGCCAGCGATCCTCAGAATGAGAGAAAATATACTACTAAAGTTTCTGGTGATGATGGCTTATGCCAGCAGACTGTCGTTTAAGAAGTGGTACCCCCTCTCTCCTCTCCCCCCCGCCCCTCCCCCCAGCCAGGTTGTGTTGAACATAGACCATCCATTACAAGGCAAAACTCTAACTTTGCTGGAAGCCCATCCTTCAGTACTGAAGCTAGGGCTCAGAGCTACCTTGAATCACCTTCTTTGTTCCCCTTCTTTTAAGGATGCGTAGACTTCCCTTGGTGGTTTTCTTTTGCTTCTCACCTTTGGTTTGCTCTCCTTTTGGTTTTGCCTCCTGGTGTGTGTTGGGACCCCACAGGATCTTTTCTCAGCGTATGTCTGGGTCCTCTCTTGACACGGTGGGCTACGATCACGTTCCCCCCAACAAAGAGGAGACGCTCTCTCCCAGGCATCCTCTGAGAGTGGAGTCGTCCCCAGGGCCTCTCGGACCGGAGCATCTTCCATCTGGGTGGATCCAGACCACTCCTGTGCCCACTAGGCTTTCGATCGGTTGACGTGATGACTCCTTTTCTCTCTCTCGTTTATCTGGGCACAGGACGTTGTCATCGAATGGACCGATTCTCCAGACTTCTCCGTGTGGGCCTTGCCACTTTGCCAGGAGCTTGCTCTCGGTGTTGTCCGGAAGGAGGAGCACCCTATTCACCTGCCGACACTCTCGAGCACCTTTATTGAACTCTCTAGCCGGGGTCTACAGGCCCCGGGTCACATTTCCGCCTAGAAATCACACAACCAGGTCTAGTTGCTCCCACCTTTTAGAGCCTGATGTAGCTTGCTGGCTGTCTGTTTTGGTCAGGCGTCCCTCCTGATAGTCCTTGAGACCAATGAGGCCTCGGGGTTCTCTTTCTTTGTGTGTGATGTTTTACATGGGAGGAAACTCCATACAGGCATGAGGAATTTCCCTCCTGTGCAAAGAAAGGAAGGCAAAATGACATATTAAGCTGTGGTCTACATCTCAAGCAACGTCGGAAACACTGATTTTAATCCTCTATCTTGAAAACAGTATATTTCATGCTTCTCTCAGGAAGCATCCCTTCAAATATTTATCTGGTACCATTATAACTCCACCTTTTAAACTTTTACAAAAGAGAAATAAACCAGAGACTGCCTTGCGGTTGTCACATCATGATGATGTGCATGTCCTATAAAGACTGCTGATGCCAGAACTAAGGATGCAGGGGACTTAGGTCCAGCTGCCTAATACTCAGCTTTGTAGGCTGCAGTGTGATCTGGTCTGGCTATTTCCCACACATCTGGCTGAGGGAATCTAATGAGAGCCATGGCTCTGGAAGCTTGTCTTGTTCACATTGGTATCAAGCAAATTATAGACTCACTTATAAGGTCAACCTGAGACCCCCCCTCCCTCCCCCAAAGAAAAAAAAACTTAAAGCATAGACACAGTATATTGTTTACTTGTGAGATAAATTTATACTAGTAAATGACAAACTTCTTTATTATCCAAAGATAAACTGTGTGCATTAGGAATTGCCTATAGGGGTATGTTAATCAAAGGTTTCTTCCTGTTTCCCCTTTTCCTACTATGTCTGGTTTCTAGGCTGCCTTTCCACTCTCAGTGGCATGGTCTTTGGGAAAGCACATCCATTTTCAACACCGTGCTTCGAATAAAAGGGGGCAGTCCAGAAATTAACTGAGTAATTAAGTAGTTCTTGAGACTAGTTTCTATCTTGAAGTGTGCTTGGTACTCTGTAGAGATTATTCTCCAAGGTTAAAGCTCACGGACAAACTGGAATAATAAACTAACCCATATAAAACAAGTAGGAACCAAGAGTGTGTGTGTGTGTGTGCATGCAGCCATATACATGCATGTGTGCACAACCAATAGCCAAGTGTTGGTTGTACACTAAGTACATACAGGGGCATATGGGGTGTTTCTCAGCATCGAGAAGGGTTCAGGAATCTGGAGAAGGGCTGCAAATAAATTAATAAAAAGACTAGAAGTATAAATTTGGAATACATGGGGAGCCAGAGGAGACTTAGCTATAGCAATCAAGTTCCCCAAGTCTCTGGACCCCTAGCTTTTTATTAACACAAATTGCCCTAAGGCAGTGGTCAGCAAACTGCTGCTCTTTGGCCCCTTGAGTGTGGCCTAGGAGGTCTATTTAAGAAGTTTCATTAGAAGTTTAAGTTTAAAAAATTTGGCTCTCCAAAGAAATTTCAATCATTGTGCTATTGATATTTGGCTCGGTTTGAAAACCACTGCCCTAATGCAAAGCAGATATACACCTCAAAGGCAAGGTTTGGTATACAGTAGGCATTGTCAGGTTTGAGGAACTGCCTTCGGCTGTTTCAGTAGCGGGCAATAATATATGCAAATCTTTAGGTTTGGAAAAATACTTTCAGCCATTCCAGCAGGCAATAATATGATTCAGCCCTGCTGAATATAGAAGCCCATCAACCTTTTGAGGACTTCTTGCTTTTTATTATGCTCTGCCGGAATTAGCTTCTAGTAGGGGCACACTATATAAGATTTAACAGAAGAGAAATCAGTTAGACAAAGATTCATGGCAGGGTTAGGGCTTGTGGAGGGTTTTGAGAGGTAAACAGGACTTGATTAAGGAAAAGAAGAGTGTGATAAGGAAGAAAAAGGCAAGGAAATACTATGGATGTTTTGGATTACACGTGGTTTCAGATGATTTGGGCCACCAAGTTCTAAAGTCAAGAGTTAATTGATTTTATAAGACTTTAGACTTGATGCTAGAATAGTGTGACTGAATGTTTGGATGCTAGAATAGTGTGACTGAATGTTTAACTTAGCTCTCACTGCTTTCCCCAAAGTTGTTATCTTCTTGGGACCTTGTGAAAGCTCAGAGCCTTCCTGATTCTGTTGTAGGATTGGGCTCAGGGCCATAGTGTAGATGACAATAGCTTGGGCAGAAACATCCAACTTTCAGATGGGAGTGCTAACTAATGTCTATGTCTAAAGGTCCTTGCCTTTGCTTGGGTTTCCTCATTAACGAAACATTATAGATTTCAGTATGGCAAGCATGGCAGTGTCCACATAGACTTTCAATCTCCTAAGGGGTTGCCAAATCTTAATTGATATTGGAAGTCTTTACTATGCCTTTTAAGGAATAATAGCTCAGGTATTTATTACTAGAAATTCTAAATGAATAATCATGGTCCTTCTGAGGAATTTGGATTTGAAAACCTGAAGGATGTGGATATAGGATCTATAATGAGAAGTTAGACTATTTGCCCTAATTCTGGGGACCAAGGAGCAAGTAATTTGAGGGGTTTGCAAGTAAAAGGCACTCAGAATGTAGGTTGATTTCTGTTCTCATAGAAGATAGTCCCAAAAGAAATGGCAGAAACTGAACTAAAATTTTAGTTTAGATTGAAGGAATAATTTAATAACAACAGGTTACCAAACTTATAAATAGTTTAAAAGAGAAAATGTATTGTCACTTGCTGGTTACCCTCTATGGGATGGATAGATTCCCTTTGTAGAGACTGGAAATGTGGTCTGAGTGATTTATAGGGTGCATGGAATTCTTTGATTCCAGGGTAGTCATGTGGGTACCTTGTGGGGATCGAGGGGGGGAATTGTTCTTGAAATTGACATCTCTGGGTTCTCTCTCTTAAGTCATTTCCGGTCCATGAGAATGCTCTATCCATTCTGTAAATGTCTTTAGAAAAGTCTGTGATCAGCAGTGGAGCAGAGAGAACGGCCTCATAGCTTAATTTGAAGTGGCAATGGCTTCCATAGAGCAGTAGTCAAATCCTGTTCTGGAACCAATATTAGAGGCATTAGTGTATCAATTATATGCACTAGTGGCTTATTCTTTATATAGCGCAAGCACAGACTTGAGTGCCCAGCTTCTTGGGGTTGGGCAAGGATATATGGGCCCATCAACACACGCAGTTCTGAGGGGCTGGGAGGGAGGGCCTCCTGCAGACATTAACTCCCCAGGCAGTGGTTGTGGAGGGCTGCCTGGAAACAGGAAGTAAAGAAGCAGCCACAGGCAGCAGACTCCTCTGGGAGTAGTTGTCTGAGAGCAATCAAGACTGGTTAAGAAGCCAGGGTAGCCATTGCATGGTGGATTGCAGTCATGCATCTTTTAATGACTACTTGAGTTATTGTTCATGAACCGGGGTTAACTTTCTGATTTCTATGATGTCTGTCTTCAGCACTGATGCTATTTCGTGCTTGTAAAAGAACATTAGAAATATTCATGACAGATAGCAAATACTTGAAGACCTCCTGGTGAAATAACAGAATCTAGAATTAGATCAAATTAAATGAATTTTTTAGGTGGCATCTTTGCTTTTTATTAAACTATGAATTATTTTATTGGTTTGTGTTGCTTAGTATTCAATGGCTAGTCATCTTCAAACTTAAAAGTCCTGTCTACTGTTTAAATTCTTAAAATAGGTCAGAAGTTTATGTTATCTCTTCAATCTTCTCATGAAGAAATAATCCTGTGTATATTTTTGTTTCAATATTTGCTTTCCAGGTGCCAGGATTGCTGAGTATTCCCAACTGTATGACCAGATTGTGTTCAGAGAGACTCCCTTTAAGACTCAGAAGGATGGCTGGTCCAGCTCTCAAGAATCTTCCAACCTGAGATCTGCATCCCCTTCCCAGACCCAACATGGTAGCGAGGATTGGCTTTTGCACTCAACCTACAGTAATGGAGAATTAGCAGATTTCTGTCACCGGCCAGGGCAAGACTTGAAGCCAAAATATCCTACTTTGGAGATCAACACAAAAAATATTCCAAGGCATTTGTCCACAGCCTGCTCTGTGCCTTCTCTGCAAACCTCCGACCATCTGCTGGGCTCCGTGCAGAGACACAGTGTGGTGGTCAGTCAGCCCAACAAGGAGAACTCATGTCAAGGCCATTTTTACAACTCTTTGGGTCGGAAAGGATTCAGCGCTAAATCTCAGCCTTATAACAGGTCCCAGTCATCTTCCTCCATCTTGATAAACAAGTCAGCGGACTCCATCAACTACCCTAATGAAACGGGGAGGAAACAGCTGTTGTCTTTACACAACAGTTCAAGGTGTGAGAGCCACCAGGATTTGCTGCCTGGGATAGGTGACTCGCGTCAACAGGGTACTGGAAAATACTCCGATCTCACTCTCCAAGACTCACAGAAAGTTCTGGTAGTAAATAGAAATGTACCCTTAAATGCCCAGATAGCTACCGAGAACTATTTTTCCAATTTCAAAGAGACTGAAGGAGACGAAGATGACTACGTGGAAATAAAGTCAGAAGAAGAAGAGTCAGAGTTTGAGCTATCTCACAATCGTAAAAAGAGATCTGACCCAAAGATAGCGCATGCAGACTTTTCTGATAATGTCGGCAGCAACAACCCTCCTTGCTCTCTGAATAGTCCGAGCACTCCCAAAAAGCCAGTGAGCGGCAAACTTGGGGTTTCGCCCTATCTGACACCATATGACGATTCTGACAAACTGAATGACTATCTTTGGAGGGGCCCATCTCCCAATCAGCAAAACATTGTCCAGAGTCTGAGGGAAAAATTCCAGTGTCTTAGTTCTAGCAGCTTTGCCTAAGGCTCTTAACAGCCGCTGCCCGCATTCACTTCTTCCTATGCTCATGACTGGGGCGTGTTTTCTATGTACCGGATTAAAAACAATTTTGTAATGACCAGAGGTGTAAAATGTACTTTCTTTTACAGCACAACTTGTTGAATGGCTGATGATCCAGCCAGGATTGTACTGTAGCCAGTGTCGGCATCTTACCTGTTTTCTGATGCTGGTTATCTTCCTGTTTCATGTAAGTCAGTCTTACTTGAAAATTTCTAGATGCTTTTTTCTTTCTTTCTTTCTTTTCTTTCTTTCTTTCTTTCTTTCTTCTTTCTTTCTTTCTTCCTTTTTTTTTTAACGAGATGGCCATATTTTTTCTCTAGATTTTTACAATAGTGCTCAGATCTTAAGAAATGCAATACTCCTCTTGTTATCCAGAAGCCATGACTGGTTGGATCATAGGACTCAGAGGCACCAAAGAGGCTTTTCCATATGTTGTTAAAATGAAAGGAAGCTAAAGCTGTTTAAGGGATTATGCTTATTATAGCTGGCATTTTTGTTCTACTCATAGCAAGATCCTAGAATAACATAAGCTAAAGATCTCTAATTGGAGTTGAGTCTCCTGTGCCCATTTTAGGGTTCCTATTCCGGTATTCATTTCTCCATCAGTTCATTGTAATGCAGACATGGTGTAGGTATTGGAAATTAGCATGTAACGAGACCCATGTTCTAGAAGCAAGAATCTTTGCCTGGGTTCCTGGACAAGGCCTGGAGAATGTGCTGCTCTTCGCGTTTACTTTATGATTCCTGGGGTGGAACAGATGATCTCCTCAATGGCTTAAAGACACCCAAGAAAAATGCAAATTGACTTAACTATTGGGAAAGATGGGTTGACATCTGGGAACAGCTTGATTATCTGCTCATGTTTTAGTTGAAGGGTTGGGAGGAATAGGACCATTCTTACTATTTTTTGTGCCTGTCTCTTATCAACACCGTGTAAAACACAAGCTAAAATGAAACAAAGCACTTTAAAGTTACCCTTCGCAGAGCAGTTTTTCACATGAGCTTTCATGAGTTTTGTACTCAGCCAAGTACCCTGGCCCAGCCTGCAGGATTTCCCTGGCTGTAGTGAAATTTGTTTCCGAAAGCAAATATCATGTGGGCATATAAAAGAATGGAATCTCTGGTTGATACATTCCAATCACATCTTCCATGTTGTAATTATGGTCTTTAGATAGCAGTTTATTGTGACAAGTTGTATTACTATAACTCTTTATGGAAGTAAACTAAAAACAGAAGCAAGTCTTGTGAGTAGAGGCAAAATTCAAGGAAGCTTAAACAGAAAAATGAAGGCAGTTTGCTGCTCCTTTATAAAAATACTCTATCTTATTGAAGACTCCAGTCAGTGCAACAAGAATGTTTCTTAGCAGTGGCCTCTGAATTCTCATTTTAAGCAGTTTTACATTCTGTGGTCCCTTCTCCACCCTCTCCATTTTCATTTTAATAAAAGACAGTATGTGCAAGGCAAGGGATCCTGGCTTTTCATTTGAAGGTGAACCATGATATTGATTTGAATCAGTGACATCTTAATTTTTTCCCCCTTTTTCAGTCCTATGCCTCTTTTTCTTAACTGGAAAACCTAAAATGTGACCATCATTATTGTATAAACAGGTACCTAAGGCACGCATTTTTCTTTTTAAATAACAAAAAGTAGCCCAAGTTTCTTGCTTCTCTATTCTTGCTTCTTACCGCTTATAACACTAAGTCCATCCTCAATGGCATGGTCTGGAAGCATTTCTTCTTTCCATTCCTTTCTTGAAACGTGATACTAAGTTTTCAAGATTAGCAGTATCAGAAAAGACAAGCAATGTAAGAAGGCAGGTTCCTAGACCTGCTAGAGGTATTTGCAAGAGCAAAACAAAGTTATCTGATTCTTACTGTCCCAAGAATGCAGTCTCGCATTTTTGCCTTTTCATTCCTATTACCCCAATGTCCATATTACTGTGATGTCATACTTTCAGACATGATTAATTTTTAACGTCAGTGTCTTGTTGACAGCTCTGATGTCACCTAGAGGAACCCACCCCACTGCACAGTGTAGATATCTTACTGTACATGTCTCTGTGGGCATCTTTAGGTTCTAGGGCATGTCTCTAGCTTTATAGATCCCTTCTGTAGGCCAGGATGCAGATTTTGAGAGGTGTGTGTGTGTTGTGTGTGTATACATATAAAATCATGTTCATATTTTTCCTCAGAGTTATCAATTAAGTGCTTTTGTTCAAAATAGTTTCTTTTGTTTCTTTTGGAGGCGGGGTGAGGATGTATATAATTGAGGAAAAAGAGGTATATGTACTTCAAAGTATGTCACGTTTTTATTCTCTGTACTGAGGTTCAATTTTTTTTTTTATCAGTTCACTTTTCACCTACTCTGTTATTTGTGCAAAAAAAGTGCATCTAGGAAAACATAGTTTAAATATTGTATATAAGTTAATAAAAGTTAGTAATGCTCATTATTTAATAAAGTTTATAAAGTACAAAGTTAATTATAGTGTGAATTAATGTGTTTATTCTAGAAAGGTCAAGCTTTTTCTAAATTACATTCAATTAAAACACTTTGTCTTAAAAAAAAAACAAAAAAAACCCACTTTGTCTTACCTTATGATCCGTGCAGAAAATGGTTCAGGGTAATGATGATATACCCTATTTCTTTATTCTTTGTTGTTGTTTTATTATACCTATTTCAACAGCAGACCATTTTCTGTGTTTTAGGTTTACTCTTGAAATATTGAATTTGCTATATTGGGTGATATTTGTTTTCTTAAAAAAAAATAGTTCTTTTTTAAAATATATTTTATTGATTTTCTTTACAGAGAAGGGAAAGGGATAGAGATTAGAAACATCGATCAGCTGCCTCCTGCACACCTCTTACTGGGGATGTGCCTGCAACCAAGGTACATGCCCTTGACCGGAATCAAACCTGAGACTCTTGAGTCTGCAGGCATATGCTCTATCCACTGAGCCAAACTGGTTAGGGTAGTATTTGTTTCCACGGTGACTAAGTTAGATCTATTACTAGATTATCTTTTCTTTTTTTTTTAGTTTGTAGTAACAAGACACCTTTTAACTATTTCATTATGGCATAAAAAAATTAATGTATATGTTTTTGTACAATAATTAAGGCTTATTCCATATATTAGGTCTAGTAATAATTAATGTCGTTTTCTAATACTTTTTTAAATCGAATTTATTTAAACAATACAACAAAATTTAATCAACAATATAGTTGCCACTGTTTTCTACTTGTGCCCAACACTCAGGAAGCATTTTAATCCCTCTGTTGTAAAATTCTTGTGATTTTGATGCCAAAAATTCGGTCAATGCATTTTTGAGGCATTCTTCATTATTAAATTTTTTTCCAAGAAGAAAGTTTTGCAAAGAACGAAACAAATGGTAATCAGAAGGGGCAATATCAGGAGAATATGCAGGTTGAGGGAGAACTTCCCGTTCCAACTGGCGCAGTTTTTCAGCAGTGATTCTTGCAGTATGCGGTCGTGCGTTATCGTGGTGAAGAATTACGCCCTTCCGATTAATCAGCGCGGGTTCTTTTTCTCTTAAAGCTTGGGCTAATCTTTCCAATTGGACACTATAGACTGCACTTGTAATGGTTTGGGTAGATGGTAAAAGTTCATAATGAAGAATTCCTTTAAAATTCCACCAAACACACAACATCACTTTTTTCGCATGCAAGTCAGGTTTTGGCGTGGGCTGCGGAGCCTCATTTTTGTCCAACCATTGAGGCCGCCTTTTCAAATTAACATACAGCACCCATTCTTCATCTCCGGTAACAATTGCTCTAAAAACGGCAAACGGTTTTGACGAGAGAGGAGCGAACTGCAAATTGTGACTTCTGATTACGGTTGTTGTCGGTCAACTCATGAGGAACCCATTTTCCAAACTTTTGGACTTTGCCAAGTGCACGCAATTGATTGGAAATTGTTTTTTGTGAACAATTTAAAGTTGTCGCAAGCTCTTGTTGGGTAATTTGAGGATTTTGCACCAAAAGAGCTTGAAGAGCTTCTTGATCAAAATTGGACACACGGCCTCGACCACTCTTGTCATCTAACGAAAAATTTCCCTCGCGAAATTTCTCAAACCAACGCTGGCATTTTCTGGCGCTAACTGCATCTTGACCAAGAGCACTACAGATGTTTTTTGCAGCCTCACTTGCTTTTCTTCCTAATTGGAACTCGTAAAGCATGCAGTGCTGAATATGCTCTTCATCCGCCATCTTCTTAGCCCTAGTTTTGCAACAAAAACCAAACCAAACACAAACTTTTTCAAGCAAAACTTGTAATTGCACTTCACACGTTCTGTAGATACCACGTGTTTGAAGGTTATGTCAATACAAGTCAACGCCAAGCAAGATTTTAAACGAATGTTTAAAAACGACATTAATTATTACTAGACCCAATAATTTCATGTTCTGAGTTCTTTTTTTACACAAACAATTTACAGAAAAGAAAAGCATGTTGATATAAATTGATTATTATAGACACTTTCTAAAGCAATTCCATTTCCAAATGTAAGTAACACCTTACTCCACTATAATGAAAATATATGTTGCCTAACTTTCCTCATACAGAGGAAAATGGCTTCAAAATTGTTCTTTGGAATGTTTTCGAGTGAAAAGTTCTGAATTCCACACTAATGATACATCAGACTTACCATCTCTTCCACCTTGAGGTTGAAAATAGATGGGGAATTTTTTTAAAAAATACGTCATAAAAATTCAATTTAGAGAAGCAAATGACAGTAGGAAAAAACATGCCCTTTGTAAATTCTAGACATAAATGGTAATTCTAGGGCCAAGAAAAAATATTTTAAAAAAATAACACGAGGGAAATAGAGCTGTTCAGCATGACTATTTAATAACATTTGTCAAAGTTTTCTTTGTATAATCATTTCTTACATTTCTGTTTTGGAAAGCAAGTACTAACAAGACTTCAAGAGCTCTTCCAGCCTTTATTGCATCACTTCCTCTGTCTGGACAGTGGTAATTCACCACACTGGATTCTATCAGCCAAAAGGCATGACAATAAAAGAAACTGCTTCAACTTTTTTTTTGCTAATTTACATATATCTATGTTTTTCACTTAAACCTTGTCCTTTGGATAAGACTTGGACTTTCTAATGCATGCTTTCCCAGTGTTTTTGTTTTGTTTTGTTTTTTAATATATTTGAAGGCATAAACATTCTCTCACACTTTAACTCACACTTTTCTTTCTTTGCCAGTAGTTTAGACCATGGAACACCAAGTTAATGTTGAATCATGCTACATTTAAAATGCCAGATATTGCTGGGACCAGTTTGGCTCAGTGGATAGAGCGTCGGCCTGCGGACTAAAGGGTCCCAGGTTCGATTCCGGTCAAGGGCATGTATTATACCTTGGTTGCGGGCACATCCCCAGTGGGGGGTGTGCAAGAGGCATCTGGTCGATGTTTCTCTCTCATCGACGTTTCTAACTCTCTGTCCCTCTCATTTCCTCTCTGTGTAAAATCAATAAAATATATTTAAAATAAATAAATAAATAAATAAATAAATAAATAAATAAAATGCCAAATATTATTGAAACCGGACAACCAATAAGTCCAGGCTGTCTGACACTACTTGAGCCAATTAAGCAGAAACAGGGCTGAATCATATACGTGCATTTATTTCAACACTGCTGGCTGGCTATACGGGAGAGCAGCAGGGCATCCACAAAAATCTGCTCACCAGCCTCCCATAAGCCAACTGCTTATATCTGGTAAGACGAAGATTACATGGGGAAGTAGGCAAGGTGGTCTGGGAGAAGTTGAGGCAGGACTCCATTGTTTGGGCAAAAGGTTGTAAATCCATGATAATAGGCTGCTCTTGAATGGGTGTGGATTGCATTCCAAGAGCTCAGGTTGACTCCCAAGTCCTGGGGGCATTCCAGCCAGGTTAGAATGTGCTTTCTTTAACGAGAACAAAGCAATCACGGTTAACAGAGCACCGTTAATATCTCTCATTTTATTTCTTACTAGTGACCCTGTGCGCAGATTCATGCACATTGAAAGGAAATTAATTATCAATAGATGGTGGCCGGTGAGGCAGGACTGGGTGAGATGGGCCGGACACACCTTGGAGCCAACCTCCTGTGGTTCTTTCCAAACATCTGTGGAGGTGGGGTCCCTCAGCCTGGCCTGTGGGGATCCAGCAGAAACTGGTTCTCTGATATCCCCCTGAGGGGTTCCGGAGTGCAAGAGGGCACTCTCATTTGACCCTCTGCTGTCATACAGGGTGTGGAACACAAACACAAGTGTGCAGTAAGCCAGATTCAGGGCCAACAGTGCCCCAGCAACAACATAACCCACAACTGAATGAGGAATCAGGCTCCTTCTTCTCTGGTTTTGGGGTGCGTCACCCTTGAGTTACTGCAGCTCAGCAACTCTTGCATTGAGCATCTGCCCGCTTGTGGTCAGTGCATGTCACAGCAACCAATCAGATGATAGGACACTTCTTAGCTTTTTTTTTTTTTTTTTTTTTAATATATTTTATTGATTTTGTACAGAGAGGAAGGGAGAGAGATATAGAGCTAGAAACATCGATGAGAGTAATCGACCAGCTGCCTCTTGCACACCCCCTAATGGGGATATGCCCCCAACCAAGGTACATGCCCTTGACTGAAATCGAACCCGGGTCCCTTCAGTCCCCACGCCGATGCTCTATCCATTGAGCCAAAAACGGTTTCAGTGACTTCTTAGCTTTTTATATAGATAGTATATTAGCCTTTTTTATATATATATATAGACTAAAGGCCCAATGCACAAAATTCGTGCAAGGGGCTCGGCCCCCCAGCCCTGGCTTCATCCAGCAGGGAATCTGGAAGCTCATTCATAAGGTCTTCCGGATGGTCATTCCGCTGGTCAGCCATCTGGTCTAATTAGCATATTACCCTTTTATTATTATAGATAATAGTCCCC